TGTGTGTGTGTGTGTGTGTGTGTGTGTGTGTGTGTGTGTGTGTGTGTGTGCATACACCCATATATTCATAGTGCACAGGTGGAGGTCAGGACATTTAAAGAGTTAAGAGAATAAACATGACCCCAGCACTTGGGAGGCAGAGGCAAGCGGATCTCTGAGTTTGAGACCAGCCTTGTCTACAGAGTGAGTTCCAGGACAGCCTGGGCTACAACAGAGAAACCCTGTCTCAAAAAAAAAAACAAAACCAAAAATGAGAGAGAATAAACACAAGCATAGGGATGGTTTAAATGGAGAAATCTTAGAAGAAAAAAGCAGACTAAAGAGGAATCCATAATACATCATGCAGAATGATTTTTAGTAAAAATGTCTTCAAATTCGTCAATTAGAATTCAGAAAAACACCAGTTTAACAGGGGCTACTTCTGCTAAGGGTAAGGAATATAAAATAATGTGAGTTTTTTCTTATGCCTGAATTACATTTTATATTCCTTATAGTAGATGGGCTAGGCTGACCTCCACCTACAGATTCTCCAATCCCAGCCTCCAGTGCTGGGACTACAAGCATCTACTATTATACCTGGAAGAAAATTCAAAATAACTGAATATAGCATAGATTCAGACAGACATGCCAAAGTAATCAAAAAATAATTTTAAACCAGGTCTGCCAAAATTGAACACAAGATATCCTGTATCTCAGAAAAAAGGGGGATGTGTAAGACTGGGTTTGTAGCTAATCAAACTAACAAATGAGTCCAAGTATGAGGAGGAACCTAATGTGACAGCTGTCATAGGGGGCATAGAACTAAGGCTTACTATAGTTGCTGATTAGCTAGAAAAGTAGATCATAAAATAACTAGGGGCTCGCTGGGTGGTAGTGGCACACGCCTTTAATCCTAGCACTCAGGAGGCAGAGCCAGGCAGATCGAGGCCAGCCGGGTCTACAAAGCGAGTTCCAGGAAAGGCGCAAAAGCTACACAGGGAAACCCTGTCTTGAAAAAAACAAAACAAAACAAAAACAAATTAAAATAACTAGGGCTCAGTGGTAGAACTCTTTTTTTTTTAATTTACCCTAGACAGGGTTTTTCTTTGTAGCCCTGGTTGTCCCTGGAACTTGCTCTGTAGACCAGGCTGGCCTTAAACTCAGAGATCCACCTGCCTGTCTCCCAAATGCTGAGATTAAAGGCCTGCACCACCACTGCCCAGTTAGTGGTAGAACTCTTGGGTAGGTTATAAGAAGTCCATGACTTGATCTTTTGGAACTGCAAAAATAATTAACAAAATAAACAACTACATGTCAGAATAGTTTGGACCAAGCAAGTTTAGGTACACTTCCACAATGTAAGTAAGAGTTCTCTTTGTCAGCTGGCCCTTTGGTTTTATTGATTGATTCTGTTTTGCTGACTCCTGTTTTTGTTACTTCGTGTTTCTTCTGAGGTTGTGGCTTACTAATAGCTGCTCTGTTTTCACTTTCTTGAGTTTCCTTCCTCAGTCCAGAAGGTAGAGGAAGTGTGCTAAGAGAACTCATTGCCTGTGTTGACTATATTTTTTAAAGATTTTATTTCATTTTTATTTTTTATTTATTTATTTTAACAATTTATTTTTATTTTTTTATTTCATGTGCATGGGAGTTTTGCTTGCCTGTTTGTCTGTGTGAGGGTGTCAGATCTTGCAGTTACAGACAGGCATAAGCTGCCTGTGGGTGCTGGGGTTTGAACCTTGGGTCATCTGGAGGAGCAGTTAGTGGTCTTAACCACAGAGCCATCTCTCTAGGCCCCTATTTTATTTTTAATTATGGAAAAGGTATACATGTGTACAGGTGCCCATGGTGGCCAAAAGAAAGCATTGGATCCCCTGGAACTGTAGTTACTAGTTTCCTGACTTCTGTGGTTGCTCCAAATTGAACACATATCTGAAAATTCAGAGCTAGTATACACAAATACAGAGAGACCATGTATCTTTCTGGGTCTGGATTACCTTAGAATGATTATTTCCAGCTATATCCTAGATACCAACTCTCTGTCAGATGTATCACTGGTAAAGGTCTTTTCCCATTCTTCAGACTGCCTTTTTTATTTGAATGATGGTGCTCTTGGCTGTTTCATGAGGTTCCATTTGTCAGTTGATTGTGTTAATTCTTGCACTACCAGAGTTCTATTTATAAAGTTCCCTCCTGTGACTCATGTTCAGGTGTTTTACATCCTTGGTTAGATTTAGTCTGGGATTTTTGTTTTTTTAAGTTGTTGTGAATAGTTTTGTTTCCCTGATTTCTTTCTTGGCTTGTTTGTCTTTGGTATGTAGGAAGGCTTCTTATTTTTGGGTGTTGATTTTACATCCTGCTGCTTTGCTTAGTGTAGGAGTTTTGTGGTGAAGCCTCTAAGATCTTTATATATAGAATCATATCATCTGCAAATAAGGATACTTGACGTCGTCCCTTCTCTCTCTATCCCTTTTATCTCCTTTTCTTGTCTTGTGGAGAAAATAGCATCCTTGTCTTGTTCCTAATTTTAGTGGAACCTCTTCAAGTTTGTCTCTGTTTAACATATGTTGGCTGTGGATTTGTTGTCTTTGCCTTTATTATGTTGTCTTGTCCCTTGTATCTCTAGTTTCTGTGATTAAAGACTGTTTTAAATTTATTTATTTTTATGTGTATGAGTGCTCTATCTGCATGAACACAGGGCATCAGATCCCACTAGAGATGGTTGTGAGCTACCATGTGGTTGCTGGAAATTAAACTCAGGACCTCTGGAAGATCAGTCAGTGATCTTAACTGCTGAGCCATCTCTCCAGCCAGTGGGATTAAAGGCCTTTGCCACCATGTGTGGTCTATTTTCTGTTGATAATCTAGTTTTATTCCACTGTGGTCAGATAAAATACAAGAGCCGGGCGTTGGTGGCGCACGCCTTTAATCCCAGCACTCGGGAGGCAGAGCCAGGCGGATCTCTGTGAGTTCGAGGCCAGCCTGGGCTACCAAG